TGTGAAGGGTACATATAATATGCTGTAGTATTTTATAGTTTTTTTTACATGTATGAGATTATTTCAAATTAAAATATTAAAAATTAAAAAAATTAATTGAAATGTATCTGCATTACATGAAAAATATCCTAATTGCTTCTACCAAATTTATTAAATTGTGCTAAAATTTACAAGGGTTCAATTAAAAATATCTTAATTCTAAATGATATAATAGAAAATATATAATAGTGCAGTTATAAGCACTTATCCGAAAATACAAATTTAAAGAAGTGAATTTAAAGAAGGGATTGGCCAAAGAAAATATATGCACAACCCATGGACACAGACAACAGTATGGTGATGGCCAGAGAGAAGTGGGGGGCAAGAGCTGGGTAGAGGGGACAGAAGGGGGGGAAATAAGGACATCCTATATAATAATAATAAAAGGCTAATATGCACATTGACTGAACGGGAGAATGACCGGTTGCCATGATGTGCACTGGCCACCGGGGGGCAGACGCTCAATGCAGGAGCTGCCCCCTGGTGGTCAGTGCACTTCCATATGGGGAGTGCCACTCAGCCAGAAGCTGGCTCATGGCTGGCCAGCGCAGTGGTGGTGGCAGGAGCCTCTCCCACCTCCGTGGCAGCACTAAGAATGTCCAACTAACAGTTTAGACCTGATCCCTTGGGGGCCTAAGCCTTTAGTCGGACATCCCCCAAGGGCTCCCTGGCTGCCAGAAGGATATCTGACTGCAAGCTTAGGCCTGATCCCAGGGGAGTGGGCCTAAGTCGACAGGTGGACATCCCCCAAGGGGTCCTGGACTGTGAATGGGCGCAGGCTGGGTTGAGGGACCCCTCCCCGTCGAGTGCACAAATTTTTGTGCACCGGACCACTAGTATTATAGATTGTTTCACTAGTTTTCTTTTGGTTAAGATTTAACTATTATGTCTTTTTTCATCATATTATGTTCAACTTTTCTGTGTTGTTTTGTTTTAGGGTGTCTCTTGTAAGCAGCATATAGCTGGACTTTGTTTTTTTAATCCAGTTTGATAGTATTCCTCTTTTATAGGTGAGTTGAATCCATTTATATATATTGTGATCACTGATACATTTGAATGTATTTCTTCCATCTTATGATTTTTGCTTATCAACCTTATTTCTCTTTCCTGTCTTCTTTTGTATTGATTGGATTTTCTATGTTTTCTTGTATTCTACTCTTTTAGAAACCATTGATTGTATTCTTCTTTTAGTGATTATCCTTAGTGTTTTTCTTTTTAAAAATCTTTCTTTAATGTTTTTAAATTTGCAAAGGTAGTACACACTTTTAGCAAGAGTAACTATTAAGAAATGTGTAAAGGAAAAAATCAAACTTCTTTAGGATTCATACTGGATTTGCATTACATGTTATTTACCAGTTTTGAGAGAAAGAATGTTTTTATTATGTGGCCTTCCTATCCAGGAGCCTATGTGTCCTTCCAGTTATTCAGATCATATTTCTCTTGTCTTCATTTAAGTCTGATTCCTTATTTATTTTCATTTCCAATTATTTTTGGGGTTTATTTCTGTTGTGAACAAAATATTTGTGTCCACCTCTATTTTCAGGTACTTACTGCTAATATAGAGAAAATAGTCTTGATTTCTGTATATTCATCTGATTCAGCCACATCATCAAACTCTTATGATTAATTTTACAAGTTTCTTTTTTACCATTAGTGCCTTTGATTTCCTAGATATGCAGTCACACCCCATTAGCAGGATAGCTTTTATTTTATAACTAGAGGCCCGGTACACGAATTCATGCACTGGTGGGGTCCCTTGGCCTGGCCAGCGATCGGGGCCATTGGGGCCATCTCGCCCAGTCTCGATCTGGCCGGCTGGCTCGGGGGAGGGACTGTGGGAGGTTGGCTGTGGGGGCAGCTCCTGCGTTGAGCGTCTGTCCCCTGGTGGTCAGTGTGCGTCACAGTGACCTGTGGTAATGGTTGCTTAGGCTTTATATATAGAGAGATAATTATATTAGTTATTTCATTTTCTTATTCTACATTATCTAGAACAGCAGCTTTCAACCTGTGGGTCGCGACCCCTTTGGCGGTCGAACGACCCTTTCACAGGGTCGCCTAAGACCATCCTGCATATCAGATATTTACATTACGCTTCATAACAGTAGCAACATTACAGTTATGAAGTAGCAACGAAAATAATTTTATGGTTGGGTCACAACATGAGGAACTGTATTTAAAGGGCCAGAAGGTTGAGAACCACTGATCTAGAATCTCCAATATAATGTATTATAGTAATGGTGATAACAGGCTTGTGTTTATATTTTTATTTTTTATGTATAAAAGTAAAAACCAATTTTCCTCTTTAAAGTTACTTGGTATTACATCCTCTCAAATAGCACAAGGAGCTTGACATGCCTACCCACTCGAATGTCCCATCCATCACCTTTGTTCACACATAAAGATTATTGTCATCAATACCTATGTAAATCTACAAATTTTTTTTAGTTTCTTCTTTCCTTAGGACTTACATTTATTTTTCCGAATCCCATTCTTTAGTGATTCATTCAGAGTCTGTGCAGGTAAACTCTTTTAGTCTTTCTTGTCTGAGAGTGCCCTATTTTACTTTCGCTCGAGCTGCTTGTCTATTAGACTCTCACTTCCTTGGATCTACGTACAGTGGCCTCTGATCTGTTATAGGGGAAATATCTGCTGTCTCTTGATTTTCATTGCTATATGGGTAACTGGTTTTTTTAGTGGCTTTTAAGACTTTACCTGTGGTATTTTTCAATTTCAGTGCAATGTTTCTGGGCATGGATTTATTTTAATTGCCTATCTTGGCCCTTGAGATACTTTTAAAATTTTAACTTATGTCTTCACTTTTAGACGATTATGTCATTTTTCTCTGACTATTGCTCTTCCATCATTACTTCTCTTCTGAAACTCTTGTTAGTTTCAGACCTATTTGGGGACATAGAGTTTCTATCTTGCTGTCTCCTTGTGCTGCATTCTAGATGACTTACTCAACTCCATCTCCCTATCAAGTAAGCCTTTGTATGGAAGGTTAGAGAAATTTTATCCTGTTTGAACTTTTAATTTCTGAAACTGGTTTTGTTTATGTTTATATTTCTTATTAGCTATTTATAGCTTCTTATTTTATTTCTGCCTGTTTTGGTTTCACAACTTCTTGTTCCTTTTTTATGGGTATTATCCCTTAATTTGTCTCTTTTTCAAATGTCTTTTTCACACTTAGTTATTTTTATCCTTGGTTTGCTATGAAATTTCAGTTTACAGATTGTGCATGTTGGTCTTGAATAGGAACTCCCTTCTGGTCCCTCTCTCTGCCCACTCACCTTTCTGCATTTCTGTTCCATTTGTGATCTTCAAGCATATTTATCTTTTTTTTAGGTGAGTCTATATTTTTTTAATATTCTCTTTTCATATTTATCCTCTGATTACTTTGATTTTATAGAGTTGGCCCAGAGTTTGAACTTCCAATGATTTCTTATTTTTTCTTTTAATTCTTGTTATCTGTAATAACACCCTCCACTGGTCTTCAACAAATCTAAGTTCTTTGGTGCTGGGAATGGTCTTGAATCTAATGTTTCCTAAAATAATTGTAATCTTCCCTCTATGACTTAGAGATGCTCCTCTTATGCCAGCAATTTCATTGTGAGAGGAATTGGTCTGTAAAGCCAACTCCTTTTAAGGCAATTTTTAAGAATCAAGGAACACCTTTGCTTTTACTCTTTTTCCCCTCTGCATTTATTAACTTGGCATGAAAATACAGTATGAGGAAACATATAGGGTACAGAATCCTGGAGGGACCATCCAAAACTTCTATGAAACTTGTCTATTTTTTCTTTTTTTCTAGCTTCTTTATTCTCAAAAGCCCTGCTATCTCTAAAACATTGTCTTTCATGTAGGAAGATGTGTTTCATGTTTCAGGGATCTTTCATTTGCAAAGGACAGAAACTTGATACCAACTAGCTTAATGAAAAAGTTTTCCCCTCCTGTGATGGGAGTGGCGTTGATCTGGTCACCGGGTTGACTGAGTTCCAGGGCCCAGATGCATTAGAAAGAGCCCATTGTGTCCTGACTTCCCTCTGTGTTGGGCCCATTCTTTCCCATCCCACGGGACTTTTTCCACCTTGGTTCAGGAATGGCTGAGGGACCTGGGCGATAGCTGTAGGCAAGTCCAGGTCTAATTCAATAAGCCCTAAAATCTCAGGAGAAAGAGAGCTGCCCTTTCCACCCCAGCATTTGAATGTAAAATCCCGGGAAAGACCTTAGCTGTCTTACCTGAGGTCACATAACCCGTCTTTGCACAGGTCACCCTGGCCAGGCCCTCTACCCATGCATTCAGGTGGCTGCTGGGCGACTCTGACTGCTACTCCCACCACCAGCTTTACCATCAGAGGGCAGTCCCTCGCTGACCAGGAGAAGAGTGGAAGTGACAAAAACAGATGTCTCATTCGTGTATGTAATCTGTTGTAACTGTTTTTTTCCTACAGACGGAAAGAGTCTACTTGCAGGTTTTCTTACCCCAGGGGAGCAAAGAGAAGAGCAAACCCATGTTCTTCTGCCAGCGCTGGAGCGTTGGGAAGGTCATCGACTTTGCAGCTTCGTCAGCCGGTCTCAGAAACGACAACAACAAGTCCACAGCCAAGGTACCGGCGGGTCGTAACAGCTCTGCCGAGGGGCTTAGGCTGTGCCACACACGCATGTTTGTTACACTACCTTGTGCCTCGTTTCTCTCTCAACAGAAGTTAAGGCTCTGTCACATGACTTCTGGAGAAGCGTTGCCCTTGGACCACACGCTGGAAGCCTGGATGGCCAGGGAAGACTGTCCCTTATACAACGGCGGGAATGTTGTCTTGGAGTATCTTAGTGAGGAAGAACAGTTTTTAAAGAATGTCGACTCTTACTTGGAATAGTCGTTCAAGGATCCAATCAGGAAACATGAGGAAAAGTCTCTGTGAAGTCAGTTTCTTTACTACAAATACTATCAGTACTTTTTTAAGTTGCTCTTACATTTTTTTATTATGTCGTAATGTCCATGATCAGTTTTCTATAAATTGGATTTAAATTTTTTGTTTCAAAGTTTAACTATGAATTGACAGTTATTAGCACGTTACCGTGTTTAGTTAGCTTTTGTTAGGTGTGTTGCTCGTGGGGCTGTGAGCTGTTGTTTGACTGCGATGCTCCCCGTCACCTTGACACACTGAGTGCTTCGATGTCCCTTTTGGGATGTTGCCGTTCTGTGGCAGAGGAAGAAAGATGCTCTGAGGATACATGTATCTCTCTTGCTTTGAGCAGGTAACATGCAAGCGTAGCACTATGGTGCCGGGAGTGGAGCTGTCCGTGTGCCTGCACCATGGCGTATGCACTGATGTGTGTACGT